GGTCGTAAGACTGTCAAATGGAAAAAAAAAAAAAAAAATTTCACCTACTGGATTTAAGTGTTTTAAATCAAAACAGCAGTTTCAAGCAGTTAAACAGGAGTTTAACAAAACGTAATTTGGAATAAGTGTATAGGAAATTGATAAATTTACTGTAATTATCATTGTATATTAAGTTTTGAATTTATAAATTTTTTTAATTGTATAATAAACTTTGTTTCAACTATATAAATCTTTTTTTTTTTCGAACAAAAATTTAAATTTTCTACAAATTCTTGAAATAAAGAATTTTTATTTCTTGCTAAACATAAAAATTTGTGTTATGGTTTTTGATTTGTAGAAAAAAAAATTTAAACTGACTGACTAAGTGGGGGGCTGAATTTCTGCAAGAAAGCGCCAGAGAGAATTTTTTCACCTAGTAACCGCATCGTAAAGGTTAATAGCGCTTTTTTTTCTCTCATTTTATTTTTTAATTTTTATGAATGAAAATAAATTTATGATCATAATTTCTTAGAAACCATAATGTACTTCAAAAATTTTTACTACTATTTATTAACATTATGCTTTCTTAAGATATCCATTTTGTTGAGAACATTCGATTATTGTTGCAAGTATATACTGTGAAACGCAAAATACTTTTTTTATTAAAAAATCATTCTGCATTTCGATCTGATGTTTGTTTTTAATTCGTTCGTTTCAACTCGTTCTTTTGCAGCTATGCAATTTTTGTGTAAATATGCATGAATTAATTTTCAGTAGTTAAGAGAATTATTAAAAATGAATATAATAATTAAAATCGATTCTACTATTGTTTTTCTCAGATGAAGAAGGTTGTTCAAATTTTACCGAATTACAAAGAAATAATTTCCTGAATTTCCTAAACAGAAAAATAAACATTTACGTATAAAAATAAAAAGTTCTTATTTTGACTTGTTAATGAGAGTTATATCAAGAAAAACTATTTACAGCAGGGTGCGTGGCCAAATTTTTCGATGAAAAATAAGCACTTTTTCAGCCCTCAAAAATATTTGCAAGCACTACATACTTTAACAAAAGGCAAAATAATTTTCATACCTTAACATGATCATGATATAATAACTAGTTTCATTATAATTTGGTCAAGAGATTTTTGGGTTCGATATCAGAGGCTGGAAAATGAAACCTGAAATTGAGAATATCTTGCAAAATGTAGCAGATTATTTCACATGAGAATGTAATAATCTCACCAAACCCAGCTCAGTAGAAGCACGTGCGGACCTTCAATTATTTCATTAAACATGTAAAATAATTGGCACTTTCATACTCTATGGACCGACGGTATGTAGAAATAGACCATGGTTGAATGAATTGTGAAAACTTAGGACAATCTGAAAAGCACGCTTTCTTGTAATATGTATTGAAAATTGACATGGTAAAGAAAAAAAATTTCATAATGGAAAATTAAGCACCTTTTAAAAACACCCAATTGAAAAGCACCTTAAGGGCTTGTAAAAAATGAAAATAAGCACTTTTTAAAAATGCTAAGCACCATGTACAGCTAGCTTTTTATTTTCTATTGTTATGTGTGTTATCAAATATGTTTTATAACACACAACTGTATTAGTAACATGAAGATTAACTTTTGTATTTGAGCATTTAATAACTGTCGGAAAATAGCTGGAGATGTGTTATCCATTGTTAACTCTTTCGCCAAAATTGTCAACAAGTTTGACACATGTGTTGTTCCATAAACATTAAAATCTTCTAAATTCTATATAGCTAGTTAAAAGTTTTTTCATCTTCAATCCAAAACTAGGAATTAAGGAGTCTGTTGTTAAATGAGAAACATTTGAGCAATTTTCCAACATTGAGTTAAAAAGTGTCATTTTCAGTATCGCCCAAGGCACAAGAACGTCTTCCCCCACTGAGAAAAGCAACTGTTTCTCTGATTCTGGACGAAATCCATGTTCAACCCTATCCTGATCATAAGGATTGAAATACTGTTGGTATGTCATGTTAACATTTCCCCTTAATAGTGAGTTGTCTAGCAGGTGGAGCAGCGCCACAACTACTGTGTTTACAAATGTAAGAAAGATATTTTTAATATGAAACGATTGGGAAGCAGCAATGTACTCGGCTGCTGGAGTAGTTTGTTTTCTTTTATTTCTTAATAAAATTTATTGTTTAAATCACTCTTAACTTGACTCATCGCCACATCGAAGAGCAAACAGCGATAGAAAGTAAAAAACAACAGTCATGTGATAGTAAATTCGCTTATACCTTATGATTTAAAATAAACTTAGTTTCAAAATTGTTGCTTATATAGTATCCATATATGGCAGTACTTTTACTTTCGTTACCTTTTTAGAGAAAAAGTACAAGTATTTGTAACGGAAATGTCGAATGAAATCGTTACTGTTTTCTGAAGCTCGGTAAGCTTTCTAAAAAGAAAAAAAGGAAGAAAAAAAATCAAATTTAAAAAAATGCTTATGTTTTTTTTTATTTATAAAATTAATGTGCAATATATATGCATTCACAGCTAACTTTGTGTTTAAACCTTGACCTCCCGTGGAGCGCTTATTCAGTGTGGCTAAGCACGCTCTGAGAAATTCTCGCAGCAGACCCAGTGACACCACTTTCGAAATGCAATTATTTTGCAAAATGAATAAAAATATTAATTAGCAAGTTATTTGCATTCATTTTCGAGTTTTATGCATTTATTTAATACATTTTAAATAAAAAATGTTGGCTTTTGTTATTACGTTTTTAAATTTTCTTCTTGAACTCTCATTCTTGTCTTAATACATTTTTACCTCGTTCATTTTTTACTAAAATTATGTTTATGCCCGACCTTGTCAAACAACGCCCAGTCAAATCTCTAAGAACTTCAGAACTATTTGTGCTATTGAAAACTATTATAATTACTATTTTAACTCTTGAAANAACTGAACGAACCAAACTTTGACAATCGAGGACATTATTTTTTTAGTTGAATTATGTACACTTTTTTAATAAATATATTCAATAATAAGTAAAATAAGTATATTATTTCATACAGAGTAATAACAATTTATTACTTGAATTTGTCATTTTTTAGCTCTACCACCACTTTCCCCCACCGTGGTGGTGTATATACTAGCCTAATTAAATATATTACTGTAAACATATCACACAGTTAAAAATAAAAATACTGCAATAATTGTATTCTAAAATGTTCAAATGTAAGTATTTTCAATAAAAATATTTTAGACAAAATCTTTTAATCTTTAATTTTAAGCTTTGTTTCAAAAGTGCCTGATTTTACCACCACTTTCCCCCACCTGACCCTATGATTTAAAATAAACTTAGTTTCAAAATTGTTGCTTATATAGTATCTGCTGACAGTATAGCTGTAGTATATTTACATGCTTTGATTCATAGTTTTTATCGGTTTATTGCAGATTAGTTATAGAGTATACGCTGCAACAACTAATAATTCTATTAATTGCAAAAAGTCACACTTCCACATTCGTCCATAATTGAGTTACGTTTATCATCCTTTTGATAATCTATGCTCTTTTATTTATGTAATTGATTCAGTGCATGAAATGCCTACATAACTGGATCAATTAACAAAAATGAATAATATATGCATTTCTCCTCTTGAGCAAAGGAAATGGATTGCAAAATGAATGCAACCTCATCAAAATACTTAAATACAAATTTTAAAAATTATGTTTCTCAGAGAACAGGGATGATTGTGTAAAGTTCAAGGCTAAAGTAAACTTTTTGTTTTATGCAAAAATGAACACAAAAGGTTTTAGTACGTGAAAATATGAACAATTTTACGACTTCACTGGCCAAAATCTACAAATATTTTCTTATCAATTACATTAATTAGCAATGATAAAAGCTTGTTTATTTTCATAAAGTATAGAGACACACTTCCCTGCAGAATTCAATTAAGTTTTAGTCAAAATCTTCCGATAAAATTGCATATTCTAAAATTTTTGTCAGTTTAACAATTTTCAATAAATTAAAACAGGTCTCCTGTGATATGTTTAATCAAGTTGATTAAAATGCCATGTGATCAAGCTTCATCATATGCCTTTCCAAGCACTGATAAGAAGTATTTCAGAAAAGTTTTAGACCAAATAGCACTCATTTTAAAAAATTTGGTACTTTTAAATCTTTTGACAGATCGAATATTTACCTACTATATATTTAAATATCTAAAATTTATACCATTCGATTTATACCATTTCATCATTCGAATAGTTTCAATGTAATAAATCTGGTTTT